TTGGCCATCAGGATACATGAACATCAACCAGCAGCAAAACGGCACAACGAACTCTCCTTCATATCGGTTCAGACAATGAAGGCTATCAATTTAACTGGGACAAAGTAACCATAGCAGCCCAAGCCAAACACAGACACACAGGGGAATTCCTAGAGGCATGGCTCTCCACCCATACTTCAATCAACAACCATATAGAATTGGACCCCATATACAAACCCATACAGATCAAAAACAGACAGTACTCACCATAATGGACCGGACAGTATAAATTCCAAGCAGAGTAGAATAACAACGTTTCGTTGGAGGCTCCACTGATGATGTCACCTAGCATGGTGACAAAACGTCTGAACAAAAACAAGCCAGCTCGGCGAGCAAGTCAACCACCTCATCCACAACCAGAGCTACGAATCTTTGCCAAAACTTTAAATTATTAAGGAATATTTGTCTTCCTCTTGCAAAGCAAAACACAACACTGATGCTGTAATAAAACTTATAAACATACTCAAAATAAAAGTACTCACTTGCATTTCTTGTAGATTCTTTTTGTCTGTAAATTAACATATACGCGTTGGTGGAGCTGGCAAGGGGAAAAAAGACAGTTGTTAACTACATAAATTCAAAATCTCAGTTTTACCATTATCTATGTATTTGCCATTTTAGTGACCGTTCAGATTTCCAGTTCCAAATTAACACATACACCCCAAGACGTTTATGATGTCAAGCAACTGAGACATACACACTGTCATGGCAAAATGAACTTGCAATTACAGCACAGAGAAAGGATAAAATTAAAACAAAAACAAAGAAATGCAGATGCTGGAGAACTGAAATAAAAACAAATTACTGGAGAAACTTAGCAATTCCGGCAGCATCTGTTGAAAGAAAGCAAACGTTAACACTGAGTCCAGTGAATCATCCGAACAGATAAATTAAAACAATAGGTTCACAGGAATAAAGCTACTGGAGCTGAATGACTGGCACTGTAACGCATCTTTTTAATGGATTACCATATATAAGGAACTCTGCTCTGTTTATATTAGCTGTAATTAACAGATCAGATCTCAGAGATCTAACAGGGTCCAAAACTATGAAGGGCTTTGATCAAATATGTCAGGAGGAACAATTTCATCCATTAGATTTTATTAGAAGATGCAAGACAGTCAATTGAAAGAAAGAACAAATGAATTTTTTTTTAAAGCACAGAACGCTGATTTGAAATAACAGTGGAAGTGGAATTCATAATTACTTTCTAAAGAAAAAGAGGTAAGTATTTGAAAAGGAAATATTTGAAAGGATATCAGGAAAAGACACAATAATAGGTCTAAGTGCATAGCTCCTTCAAGCCAAATAATATATTGTGACACTTTTTCAAACAAAACTTTAATCAGGTGAGACAGCCCCTAATGGGGCACTGTAACAAAAGCAAATCAAAATGGCTAACAGAAACTTATAAAAGAAAAGAAAAATTATCCAGGGTGATGACACCTTCCAGCTCCTGCTGCATGCACCAGTCTCTAAAGACCTCTATTGTTCCAATGGACACCGTATGCTCCTTCTCAAAGAACATCCAAATGCAGATGTAGCCACAAAAGATGGGTAGACAGTCGGGCACAATGACCCACTCCATGGCCTGCTGCATGGACCTACTAATGACCACTTTAGCCAAGTGCAGGAGCAGGTGCACAAGGAGAACTTCTGCCCCTTCCATTTCACTCCACATGTTGAAAGTTAACACAAGTAAAGCCTACATCATGCAGAGAAAAATACACCAGTTCAGTGTTGTTGCCACAGAGAACAGGTGTCAATACTGTGTCTTTATCACCAAACTATCAAACACTTTTTACTTGTATTCTTCTTAAAAAAACAGCATTCACTTGGACTATTTACTTCATCTTGCACAAAGGAAATTTAAAAAGTGAGGACAATAAAATAGTTTCTCCGCTCAATATTAACTGCATCAATTTATGATATTTTAAATGCAAAAAGAGAAATTAATTATAGAAATTATTTATAGAAATTATTTATAAAACCAAGGATCTAAGCTGCTTTTAAAGACTCTTTTTAAAGAATACATTTAAATACATAAATTCCAGGTTTCTCAGTTACACCACCATTTAAAGTTGCCTCTTCTCAATCTTCTCCCCAATATGTATCATTTCACACTTCTGCACTACACTTTATCAGACACGGTCATGCTTGTGACCATTTCACAACCTAGGTCCTCCTAGATCTAAGACTTGAGTTACAATCTGGTCAGGCACCTTAAATATTTAAAGAGAAATTTAAACACCTCATTTTAACTAACAGAAGTACACAAGATATCGCTTGCTTGAAGAAAACATATTTTGAGGGAAGAGGAATGACACCCATGGGACCAGAAGGCAAAGTTGCTCAATCCACAGCATCTTTAGGCTACTTTTGCATTTGATTTTTAGGAGTGGAATTAGGGCCTGTTACGATGGACATTTAGTCATACCCACCCTGACAAAAAGTGGGAGATTTAAAAGGGCCTGACAGCTGTTAACATTTGATCAGAATTCCACAGCAGCCACTGCTGCGTCAGAGCTTGTGAAAAGCAACTTAAACCATAGCTTGGGAAGGCAAAGGCAGCATGGCCACTAACGTTTTGAGTATAAAAGACTCAAAGCTTGCTTTAACTGTATTTATTCCATTTTCTGTAATTTTAATTAGTAAAATTACAAGCTTGATTCTAAAACTGTACGTACATTCCAAAATACATCAACTGTGAACTAAAATTTGCAACAAACAACAGAAAGATGGCATACAGAATTTCATAAGCAATGTGATAACAACCAGTTAAACTATTTTACTGATGCTGTCTGAGGCATCAATATTGGCTGGAACGCTGGGTCGAACTCCATCGCTCTTTGAACGGTACTGTGTGATCGATTATATCATGCTTAAAGGTTAAACGATTTGGTTCAGTGCTAAATCCGAAAGATAGCTTGTCCAATGGTATAGTGCTCAGACAGCGCAGCACTGCCTTCTCGACAGCGCAACATTACATTCAGCCTGAATTCTGCTGCTGTGTACTTTAGACAGGCAAAAAAAAATGTATATTTTGTTGTAGAAGCATTTGATTTAACTAACTTCTTTGGTCTAAATTGCATAGTGCCCAAGAGAAAACAGACTCTGCTGTTTGATAAGCAATATCATAGCCTGACTAAAAAGGAGACCGTGACCCAAACCTGCAACTCAACTAGCACAAGCAAAAACATCCAGTCCTATTTAATATACACGAGTGTATTGAAAGAAACTTGAGATGATCGATTTACAGATAAAGTGTTAGGTAATTCACTTTGAACTAAAAACAGTTGCAAAATGTTTTATAGAAATGAAAAGCAGCTAGAAACTGGGGAGGAACTGAGACTTATGGATTTAAGTGCAATACAAAATCATTAAATGGTGGAAAGATTGAAAAATAAAAGTTACTGTAGTACTGGCCTTCACTTCAAGGGAATTTTGCACATTACAGAGGTTCAAGTTAGACTCCATGTGCAACACTGCGCCACACCTGAGGATGGACAGAGTGGCTTCAGAATGAGCGAATGGAATAGAGAGAAGATCCCTAAGTCAGCTACTGTGCTAAAAGGTTAAATTGTGGGGTCAAATATATGGGCTAGATTGCAGTTGAGTATATGGTTTAAGATGGCTGAATGATTTCAATAGCATAGGTAGTGAGAAACTATTTCCTCAGAACAAGAAGGAATTTAAAAAAAACCTCAATCAGAACCAGGCTGTTCATGAGAGTCAGAAAGTACTTCTTCACAAAAGGAGACTGAAAGTATGGAACTCTTTTCCCAAAACAATGGTCGCACTTAGATTTGATTAAAAATTTCAAATTATAGACTTATAAACATTGTTATATTATGTGACGGCATTAAAGGTTACAGATCTAAGGTGGAGTTAAGATATTGAGGCTGAATAGCCTCCTCCAGCTCCTAAGGTTACAGAAATGAAATTTTTTTTCTGAAACTCAAATGAATTAGTATATTGCAGTAGAAACTGACCACAGTGCCAAAGATCCCAGTGATTTACATTTAGAATGTGCCATGTGGTTACCTGGCAAAAGCACTGGAGTAATATCCTCTGGTTACTGTAGAGCCACCATACGTCTTCCTAATATCATCTGGAGTAATCTGAAAGAGAAACAGCTTTATTCTCACTTTCATTTTATAAAAAAGCTTTTAAGATGGTACCAAAATTTTAAATCATAGAATTAATTGAACAACTCATACTTAACAGTCACACAGCAAATAATTCAATTCAGAAAGTGTTTTATTTGCAAAAGTATTTTCAAGGTAGACCAGGTCTAACATAGACTGGTTATAATGGAAATATAATCTACAACTACACAACCTGCTGAATAAGCACTCTTAAATCCTAGGCAACAGTATTGTTCCTCAATTATTCATTCCTTTGTGTATTTTCTGTGAACAACAAAACACAAAAAGACCTGAGAATAAACAAGCATTTAAAGTGATTTAATTGTCTGATTGATATACAACTGCTTTTTATATACCTATATTTGCACTCGAGAATTTTTAACTCGCTACTAACTGAAGTTGCTTTTATTCATTTATTCTACTGTTCGCTGCTGTCCTTTCTTTTCACTGTTTCTTTCTTGACTCACCACCCCAACAGGTCTGATATTTTCTGCCCTACCGGAATGGATGTCTGATCATCACTATGCTGTTTCTGTTAAATTTCTATTAGCTACAGGTTTCAAGCAACACTGTCAAGGGTTTGACTATCATCACTGCACCCATACCTGCCCCGATTCTGCCATGTGAAAGCTGTTTACTCTATTATCATGAATATAGTGGCGGGGATGACATAGCAATATTGTCAGTGGACTAGCAATCCCAGAGGCCACACTAATGCTCTGTAGTTTAAATCCCAATGTAGTAGATGGAAATTCAAATTAAAGATTCAATTAAACCTGGAACTGAAGCTACTCTAATGGTGACCATAAAACCATTATCGATTGCTGTAAAAACCCATCTGATTCACTAATGTTTTTTAGGGAAGATAATCTACCATCATTAGTACATGCCCTGTGCGATGTAATTTGTATGCCTGCTGAGTTTTCTTTCTCACCCTATGATATGTTTTTCCTTGTTTACTATGATCTGCATGCACTGCTCGTAAACAAAGATTTTCACTGTACTTAGGTACACATGATGATAAATCAATCAAATCAAATATGTGTAACTCCAAGCCAATAGCCATGTTGTTGACTCTTCAATATGCCCTGAAATGGCCCTGCAAGCTACTCAGTTGTATTTAACTGTTTTGAAGTCTAACAAAATGAAACCCCAGATCGGCCACCTGGCAATGACCTACATGCTGGAAACAACAATAGCAAACCCAGATCTGTCAACCCTTCAAGGCCCCCTTTACCAACACCTGGGGGCTTGTATTAAAATGGAGAAACCTGTTCCAAAGACCCATCAAGCAACAGCCTAAAATAGTCAAGGTTGTGGAATCACAGCCTTACAAAAACTTCCCAGACACCATCATGATCCTGGGGATTGTCTTGTCTCACAGTAAGGACAGACTCATCAGAGATGGCAGCACAATGGTACAGAATTGGAAGAGAGCAGCCCTGGGAGACCTCAGCATTCATTTCTGATTAGTAAGTCTCATGGCTGAGTTCAAACAGGAGCAAGGAAACCTCTGGCTGATAACTACCTACTGCTAATCACCCAACTCACCCTCAACTAATGAATTAGTACTTATGTTGAACACCAATTGAAAGAAGCACTCAGGATGGTAAGGGCACCAGTACAGCTAATAATCGGCAATTACTCAGCATTGTGGAAAATTGTCTAAGTATGTCCTGTCCAAAAAGCAGCAAGACAAATCCAATCCAGTGAATTACTGCCCTGTCAGTCTACTCCTAATCATAAAAGATGTTAACAACAGAATATCAAGCAATTGTTGCTCCTGTCTAACCTGCTCTTTGATCCTCAGTTTGCATTTTGTCAATTCTACTCAGCTGTTAAGCTCATTACAGCCTTAGTCAAACACGGACCAAAAAGATGAACTCCAGAGGAAAGTGTAAATGTCCTTGGGCATTGAGGCAGCACTTGACCTAATATGGCATCAAATAGCCCAGTAAAACTGGAGTCAACGGTAAGCGGGGGCAAAACTAGCCATGGGTTTGGAGTCATAACTAATTGCTTGGTTGTGCAGAACTTAAACATTGCTAACAAGAGACAAATGTCAAATCCTGTTATCCTGCATGCATCTTGACTCAGATGCAAGAAAACAAACTTGGCAAGTGAACAAAACCAAGAACTGCGGATGCTGGAAATCTGAAACAAAAACAGAAATTGCTCAAGGAAGTCAGCAGGTCTGGTAGCATTATGAAGAGAAGATGGAGTTAACGTTTTGAGTCCAGTGACCCTTTTTCAGAATTGAAGTTTTTTCCAGCATATTCTACAGCATAACAAAAGGATTGATTGGACTTTGGCTGGCATGGGCTTGAAACAGGAACTGTTAATTGTCAAGCTCAGTGCATTGAAAAAAACTGAAACTGTACAAGCAGAATCTGATTAGTCAGTCTGTTCCTATGGTGACATACCATCACTGTGTTACAAATCAACTCCCTTCCCCATAGCACTTTTGGTGTATCTATTCTCCCCATGTACTGCAGTGGTTCACGAAGGCAGGTGCCCATCACTTACTCAAGGGCAATTAGGCATAAGCAATAAATGTTAGCCTAGCCACCGACAACCATAACTCATGAACAAATAATGGAACTTTTCCAAGGAGAACTAGCAGATAGGCAGATAAGAATGAAAGGAAGAAAGTGGGAAACTTAAATCAAACTGCCCTAGCTTCCAATATATTCACATTTCCCCCTCTCCTTATCATAGAATCAAACAGCATAGAATGAAGTCATTTAGCCAGTACTTTTGACTGATTATCTCTAATCCTGCTCATTTGCATTTCCCACTTGGTTCTGCAAATTCTCCTTTTCAAACATTTAATTCTCATTTGAAAACTTTGGTTTGGCCATAACTGATGTATTTAGGAAGGACATAAAAGCATTAGGAGAGTGCGCAAAAAAATTTGCATTTGGATGCAGCTAATCTATAATTTAAGGCTCTATCTAAAGCTGGAGGCACAGGTTTGAGAGATAGACAGATGACTAACCTCAAAAATATTTATCCATTGAATATAAATATATAACTTTTTCTCATTAATTCATGGGATGCAGGCACTGTTGCCTGGGCCAACATTTATCTTCCATTTCTGATTTCCTTTGAGAAAGTGGTGGTGAGCTGCTTTTTGAACTATTGAAGTCCATTTAGTTAAAGTAGATCCACAATGCTATTAGGGAGGGAGTTCCAGGATTTTGCATTCGGAGAAGGGTTCAGCTATTACAATGTAAATATACCATTAAAAAATTCACAACCGTGTTTAGGAGGGATGTTCCATTTATAAAAACAACTTGGCATTAAACATGTAATGAGACACTTGACAAATATTTACATACCCTGCTAACATGCTGGTCATTAAAACTGTACCACTGTCCATCACTGAATGATTTAATACAGGCATAGTAATGTCCACCAGCAGCACTCCCTGAGTGAACCATAACCGAGAAGAGCTCATAAATCCAGGCACCCTGAAGAAGTACAAATCATTAACAAACAAACTGAGCAAAGGAGAAGAAAATAAGTAAACATTTTTAAATTTATATCACATACTTAATACACAAAATATCCCAATATGCTTCACATGAACAATGCCTATTAAAAAAACTCTCAATGAGCAGGATGTGGTTGCCCAAAAAGTGATCAATAACTTGGTCAAAGAGATAAAATTTAACAAGCAATTTAAATAAGGGTAATTCCAAAGCCTAGAGCCTAAGCACGTGAAGGCACGCCCAAATGTGGTGCAATTAAAATCAGGGATGAGGAAGTACTGCGCAAGAGTATACAGCACTGGTAAGATTATTGGTTGGAGGGGGTTACAAAGACTTAGGTAGTACAACAGATGACTTACTTTCCCACTACGTTTCTTTTCGTCTGTGCGGAACTCTGAGGTCACTGCATAGCAGCGACTTCCAAAACCAGAAGTCAATACTTCGGCATGCTGATGGGTATGTGCGGACCCACAGCATAAAGGGAACATTGCAGATGACTGGTCAGAATATGAAGAACGACGGACTAAAAGGTTAATCAGGAAAAGAAATCAGAATATGAGAGAAAACTAGATAGAAGTGAGAAAATGGATTACATTACATACTCATTGGTCCTCAAAAGAATGAAAATGGGGAGTTGACAGTAGGTAAGATGGCAAATGGAAATTAAATGAACAATTATTTGGTCTGTATCTTCATTACAGAGGATACAAAAATCTTTTCAGCAATATTGATAAATCAGGAATTGGAAAGAAGAAAGGAACTTGATGGAATTATGATCATCAGGTAAAAGATACTGAGCAAACGATGAGGCAAAGGGCTGACAAGTTCCCAAATCCAATGGACAGCACTCTAGGATTTTAAAAGAAGTGGCTAATGAGGTAATTGGTGCATTGGGGTTAATTTTCCAATTCTATTAGATGTTGGAAAGAGTTCCATCAGACTGGAAGTAACGAATTTTCAATAAGGTATGGAGATAGGAGATAGGAAACAGGAAACGGAAGGCCAGATAGCTTGACATCTATCATGTTGAAGGGGTCAGCATCAGTCTTTAAGGAGGTTAAGAATTGTGCCTATGAAAGCACAACACATGAGGGAAGAGTCAACAGTTTATGCAAGGGAAATTATGTTTAACCAATTTATTGGCGTATGTTGGAAAAAATAACATGCACTGTGGAAAAGTGGGAGCCTGTTGACGAACTGTGTTTGGGATTTCAAGAATGCATTTAACAACGTTCCACAAAGATGTGGAAGAACAGTCACTGGACTTGAAATGTTAACTCTTTTCTCTTTCCACAGATGCTGCCAGATCTGCTGAGTTTCTGCAGCAATTTCTGTTTTGGTTCCACAAAGATTATTGCACAAAACAGAAGCACATGGTATAGGAAGTAGCATACTCTTATTGATGGAAGATTAGCTTACTGGCAAGCCTGTAAGCATAAATGGACTTATTTCACATTGCAGGCATGTGAAAAATGAGGTTCCCCAGGTGTCTGGGCTGGGGTCTCAGTTTTTTGAAATTTACTGAATGACTGGGATGAGGGGAGTTAAGGCATAGGAGCTAAATTTGCAGATGACACAAAGACTAGCAGAAAAGTATAGTGTAAAGAGGAGACTGCAAATAATAAGCTGAGTGTGTAAGCTTAAATGGGCAGATGGTGCAAACGTGGGGAAACTTGAAATTGCTCACTTTGGCAGAAGTTATAAAAGAGCAAAGTATTACATAAATGGAGAATGACTATAGAATTCCAAGGTGCAGAGACATCTAAATGTTCCAGTGCATGAGTCACAGAAGTATTTATGCAGTACAGCAAGCAATAAAAAAGGCTAATGAAATGCTATCCATTATTACAAGACAAACTGAACATAAAAGACGCTGTGCCTCAGGATGCTATGTATTGGTGTGACCACATCAAGTACTGTACGCAGTTTTGGTCTCCTTATTGAAGGAAGAATGCAAATGCACTGAAGGCAGTTCACAAAATTGATAGCTGGAATGAGAGGTTGTCTTATGTAGAGAGATCGGACAGACTGGGCTGGTTTTCACTGGAGATAAGAACAGCAAGGGTTGAGTTGTTTGAAGTACATTAGAGATCCTGAACAGTTTTGACAAAATAATATTTCCTTTTGAGCAAGAGTCCAGAACTAGGGACACTGTTTAGAAATCAGGTGTCACCCTTTTAGGGCAGAGATAAGAAGTTTCTTTTTCCCTGTTTAGGGTTGCTTGACTTTGGAACTCTCTGCCTCAGAAGGTGGAGTAGGTGGGGTAATTGAAGATTTTTTACAAAATGGAGATGGGCTGTGCCAAGATGCCCAAGGACATAATTGAATAGAAATTAGTCTATTGATCAAGTGGGTTGTTTGTGTTGGCAAAGATCCTGCTGGACTAAGTGTGGTGCAGGAATGTTTAGTTTAAAAAAAGCGGTAGACAAGAGTAGAACGTGACTTTTGTTTTAATCTTCTGAATAAAAATTAGAAAGACCCAAATTTCACTCCTTTTAAAGTCAAGCCCACAGCAACATGTACCTTTTCATTCCCTGCCTTTAAGGATTTTTCACCTCCACTGTTATTCTCCAGGCATATTCCTTCATCCACAACATCATCATTTGAGAAGTCATTGATCATCTGGTCACTGTGGCAACTTCCTTCGTTCTCAGCACCACTGTCTGTGCAGCTCTCAGTCTGAGGAGATTTCTGTGGAAAGAGAATTTCTTGGATAGGTCAAGCAGAATTAATCTGTTGACTTCCTCTGCCTCCCCAACCCACTCCCTACATCTCACCACTGGCAGCCATGCCTTCAATCATCTTAGGTCATGCACCACAGTTTCTTCCTTTGAACCCCTCTCTTCTCTGTTAGGACTTACTCTGAAAACCCATATTTTGGTCAGCTCTCTATGTTATTCTTTGATTCAATATTCATTTTTAAATGATAACTCTTCTGAGAAGTACCTTATGATGTTTTACTGCATTTATATATCTGCATAAATGCAAGTTATTAATACTGGAAATGTCATTAAATTGTGTGGATTGTGCAGGATCAAAATATATTTTTGTAAGTTTCAGCAAAAATATACTGCATTAGTACATTGGTTAATGTGTAGAATTCCACACTTGATAGATCATCAAGACCAATTGTGTAATATTCCAGAAAGTATCCTGTTGGTCCACATGCTCCCTATCCTAATTTAGTACAGGCCCAGACAGCAGGCAATTGTGTAGAGCTTCGTCAGCTCTACTAGTTGAGACCGTCGCTGCGTAGGTAGATCGGAGACAATAAGGGCACCTCAAAAGGGAGGTAACTTCAGAGACATGGATTAAATTCAAAGAAATTAAATAAAATAACTATAACAGTTGAAGTTGTTAAGATCCCCAGAGAAGAGGGGAAATACCTCTAGTTGAATAGTGTAAATGGGATTTAGAGCAGTTAGGTGATTAACTTTGACCAGAGCAGATTCTATAGGCCAAAGGGCCTTTTGCCATGATGTAGAACTCTAATAATTTAGGCTACAGATGGGGCCTTTCAAGCCCATTGCCCTGTCAATGGGACAACAAATTTCCAGGTCCAACTGCCAGGCCGTCTCCTTGAGGTAGCAATTTCATATGTGGCTGCAGCTCGGATTATTCTATCACCAACAAATGGCAGGAGGCTGTAAAGGCTCTTGTAACTGGGTTTTAGACATCTTAGCTGGTTGCATGGAGCAGCCAGCCATTTCTATTCCCAGACCTCTCAAAAATGTTTGTCAGTGGCTGGAATACATAATGGAGCTTTTTCCACATGACTCCCTCCTATTTTTCCTCATCCCCATGTCAGGAGCTGTCATGATAGAGCTGGGAAATTCAACCCACCAACACTCAATTTTTCTTCTTGGATATTGTCTGACCAGACTCTGCCGTATTTTGCTTTTGCGACGATAGTGGGCAAGTCCATGACTCACTATTTTTCATCTTAAGACTTGGAATGGGTCAGAAAATAGAATATTTCCTGAGGTCAAGCAAATCTTAATTGCTGGTGACAGAGGGTTCACACAGTTGGATAGACAGCACGCTTGCGATGCAGAGTGACGCCAACAGAGTGGCTTCAATTCCTGCACCAACTCAGGTTATTTCTGAAGTCCTGCTTTCTCAACCTTGGCCCTTCGCCTCAAGCATGGTGCCCCTCAGGTTAAACCACCACCAGTCATTTGTCTCTAGCGACTAGTCCTATAGTCCTCTGAGACTATAGCAACTGTTCAGTCATACTCCACAACAAATCCTCTCCCACCACTTTTCATGTGACTCTATCCTTCTATTCCTCCCTTCCTTGTGTATTTATGTAGTTTCTTTTCAAATAATCCATGCAACGCTCCACAACTATTCCTTCTAAAACCAAGTTCCATATTCTTACCATTGGCTGGGTAAGAAGTACATTCAACATACAGCATATTCTTCAGAAAAAAAATTCATTAAGTCATCCCAAAGTTTTGTTAAAAGTTGAAAAGTGCTTTTACAAGGTTTTAGTGAAGTAAATTATTCATAATTATCCTGGTTTCTTCTAGACGCAAAACCATCTAAGGGGATCTCTTCAAAATAAAACAAAATGCATAAAAGTATGGTATGGGGATATTATGTTATATAAATGCTCTTCTTTATCTGTAAATTTCAAGTTATTCAATCAGCATAATTTAACAGATTATCTGGTGATTATCACTGCTGTTTGTGGAGTCTTGCTCTGCATACCTGGGCATCTATATTTCCAACCTTACAACAATAACTAGGCTTGAAAAGTGCTTCATTATAAAGTTACAAAGTGCTTTAGAATATCCAGAGGTCTTGAAAGCAACTACAGAAAAGCCAGTTTGTTCCACCTTTAGTACCTTTATTTTTATGCTCTCTATTCTATCCCAGTTATAGCTCCTGCAGTCAGCATCACAGCATCATTGTGAAGGATCAGACCTTTGAAACTGTTGGGCTGTGTCTAATATCTGGGCCTTCAGCATTATCACACATACCTCCTCTTCCACATCTATGAAAGGACTCATGTCGAGCTCAGCTGGAAAGGTCATTCGGTCATTCAGCTTAATCCTGTGCATTGTGGTATAGTCAAAGTCAAAGCGCTTCAGTTGCAGTGTCAGTAGGTATGGGAAGTGTAGAAACTTTAGCCCCTGTAGAAAGAGATTTCAAGTCACCTACGATTCAATTTGCTTTAAAACTACATTGGCCAGTATTCATCACAGAAACTATTTACCTTGCGTGCATCACATTTTTTCTTGCAGCGTTCACAGAAATACTGGTTGGGGCCGTCCAAGGTTTCAGGCTGAACAAATGCTTGCAAGGCCTCTTCCTAGTGAGAGACCAACATAAAGAAAAATAAATATATACAACACCGTGGGAGTTCCACAGTTTCAAAACTTCTTGCACATTCTTCAAACAATGAATGGAACATATGCAATGAAGGAAATTAAATTCTACTCATGAGGACAGCTACTCTCTATTATGTAGATTAAACAGTAGGAGTCTCACGTTTTGGTTTGTGGTAGGGCCAAATCTAGGTGAGATGCAAGAAGGTGCTTCTTCTCCTACAGAATAGAAAATCTCAAACAGGTTGCCAGCTCATGCGGTGGAAAGATTTTCAGTGAATTCTCTCACCTGCAATAGGGTTAGGGTTTGAATTAGGATTGGGCACGTCTAAATTGGATGGACATCTCCACCTTACAAGAGGGAGATACAGCAGGGAATTCTGGGGCAGTGATATTCTGGACTAGTTTGATCACCCAAGGGAATCAAAAAAAAAAAAAAATTGGCCAAGAACTTCATCTGGTTTTCACATCTCCAACAAGATCAACTGGTCTCGGGTAGTGTGGGGAACATATAAAATGTGATGTACGTGGTATCACAGCAGTGTGGAAAATGCTGCTAACAGCAAAGGATCTTTTCCTCAGTCATTGTTCATATGTTAATACTGACCAACCTACATAAGTAGGCATTCATAGTAATACATGCCTAATCAAATCATCCATGGCTCTCCTCATATTTGATTCTTGGCGAGATCCCTAGCAGAATATATCTCAGCTTAGTTTATATGATCTTTTAACTACACAGTTACCTCTGGACTTAAAATATTCTAACACAATCCTGACCAATATACCATGTCCTACTCCTCATAAATTGAGGTAATCCAAATCGTTGCTCTCCACATTTCAACACAAGCCATGTCTCTCAATCATCAATCATCCATCATCCCTGACCTCAATGAATTACAGTAGATTCCAGATAAGCCTTGGTTCAATTTAAAATTCTCACCCATAATTTGAAATACCTTCCCAGTACTACCTAATCTGTCACCTGCTGCTGATCTACAACACTGCAAGATATGCGGCTTCCTGAACGCCCCCAATTTTAACTGCATCATTATTGATGACCCTATCATAAGCTGCCTGAGTCCTCAGCTCTAGAATTCCCCTTCTACCTCTCTCTAATCCTTTTTGGTACGGTCTCTTTGAAAATGTTTTTTGTCATCTATCTTAGCACCTCAATATATATATTGCTTGGTGTCAAATTGTGTTTAATGAAGCACCATTGAAACACTTCATTATGTCAATGCCATTAAATAACGATCTTTTTTCTTTAAGTGACACTTCAACTCAGTTAGCAGGGTCCTTGTGGCTAAGAGGTTGTGTGCTCTAGACTCCCTGTAGGGCCTGAGCTGAGCATCTAGGCCAATACTGTAGTGCAGTACTATAGAAATGCTGCATTCTCGGAAATTACCACCTTTTGGATATGTTAAACCAAGGACATACTTGGCTACTCAAATCTAAATTAAACCTCTCAAGCATATTTGAATAAGACCATGATATCCAACATCCAGTGACATCTATCCTTTGACCAAAATTTCCAAAACAGGTTAGCTGATCACTTATCCCTCAGCTATTTGGGGTTCTTGCTGACATGAAGTTGATATATTTGTCCATATGACAATGGTGATTACATTTAGTAACAGAAATAAATGATCAGAGGACAGGAAAAACATCATAAATTCAAGCATGCGTTTCTTTTATTATTGATTGACTTCATATTCTTATTTATATTTGGCATTCATGTTGCTGTCAACCTGCTGATGGTGAAGATTTCATTTACCAAGAGTTGGATTTTCCTTTCTTCATTCATGGGATGTGTCCTTCATTCATTGTCCATCCCTAATTGCCTTGCAGAAGATACTGATAAGTTGCCTTCATGAGCCATTACAGTTTTGGAGTGTGGAGACATCTATAATTTTTTTTAGGAAGAGTTGCAGGATTTTGATCCAGTGACAGTGAATGAATGACACAATAGGTCCAGGTCAGAATGATGGGTGATTTGAAGGTGAATTTGCAGCTAGTGTTGTCCCCATAAATCTTCTGTCCCAGACTTCTAGGAGACACAGGTGATAGGTTTGGAAAGTGCTGTCTAAGGAGCCTTGGTATGTTACTGCAGAGAATATTGGTGGTGAAAGGAATGAATGCTACAAGTGGTATAGGGTGCCAATCACGCAGGCTGCTTCGTCCTGGATGGTGTCAAACTTCTGGAGTGTTGTTGGAGACAAGTGAGCAGTATTCCATCATACTCCTGACTTGGGCCTTGCAGATGGAGGACAGAAGCAGGAGGTGAGGAACTTACCACAGGATTACTAGATAACAAGGTGTAGAGCTGGATGAACACAGCAGGCCAAGCAGCATCAGAGGAGTAGGAAAGCTGACGTTTCGGGCCTGGACCCTTCTTCAGAAATCAGGATTCCTAGTCTTTTACCTGCTTTTGTAGCCATATTATTTACATGGTTGTTCTAGTTAGTTTCTGGTCAACAATAATCCCCAGGATATTGATTGTGGAGGCTTTAGAGGCTGATGCCATTGAATGTCAAGGTGTAACTAGATTCTTTCTTTCGCCAGGTCATTGATTGGTATTTATGGGCATGAATGTTATTTGTCACTTCCCAACTGAAAGATGAATGGTGGCCAGGTTTCTCTGCATAGGGCATGGATTGTTTCAGTGTCTGAGCAGTTGCAAATGGTGAACAATATGCTTTGATTAGTTAATGCCATCACTTCTGATTGAGGGAAGATCATTGAAGGAGGTGAAGATAGCTGACCTAGGACACCACCATGGAACTCCTGAAATGATGTCCACAGGCAGAGAGGATTGACCCCCAACAACTACAACCATCTTCCTTTGTACTAGGCATGATTCCATCTATCCAGCAGCAGCTAATTTTCATCGACTTTGCTCAGGTTCCTTGATGCTATACTTGGTTGAATACTGCCTTGACATCAACGGTAATCACAATCACCTCACCTCAGAAGTTCAGCTCTTTCATGTTTTGACCAAGGCTATAATAAGGTGGGGAGCTTAGTGGTCTAACAGAACCCAAATTAAGATTAAGGAAAGAAGTTATTCCTTTGAAAATGCTGCTTGTTAGCATTATTGATGACACTTTCCACCACTTTGCTGATGACTGAAAGCAGACCAATAGGGCAGCAAATGGCCAGATTGCATTTGTCTTCTTTGCGTGCACGACATTGTCAGGTACATGCCAGTGTGGTACATATATTGGAACACAGCTACTTCTAGAGAACCATTCTTAGCACTATGGCCAGAATGCTGTCCGAGGCCATAACCTTTGAAGTATCCAGTGCCTTCAGTTGTTTCTCAATATCATGTTCATGCTTTGTGCATGGGAAATTGTGTGTCACAAACTGGATCAAGTTTCTTTGGAGAGGTTACAAAGAAAACAGATGAAGGCAGAGCAGTACACATTGTTTACACAGACTTTAGAAAAACCCTCAACAAGGTCCCGCCTGACAGAGTGGCTAGTGAGGTTAGGTCACATGGATCCAGGGAGAGATAGCCAATTTGAATACAAAACTGGCTTGACAGTAGAAGACAGAGGGTGGTGGTAGAGGGTTGTTATTCATAGTGGAGGTCTGTGACCAGTGGATTCTTGCTGCAAGAATCGTTTCCAGATCCACTGTTATTCGTCATTTACATTAACGATTTGGATGAGAATATAGGTGGTATGGTTAGTAAGTTTGTGGATGATACCAAAATTGGTGGCATAGTGGACAGTGAAGAAGGTTATCTAAGAACATAGAACATTACAGCGCAGTACAGGTCCTTCAGCCCTCGATGTTGCGCCGACCTGTGAAACCAATCTGAAGCCCATCTAACCTAAACTATTCCATTATCATCCATATGTTTATCCAATGACCATTTAAATGCCCTTAAAGTGGGCAAGTCTACTATTTTTGCAGGCAGGGCATTCCACGCCCTTACTACTCTCTGAGTAAAGAACCTACCTCTGACATCTGTCCTATATCTATCACCCCTCAATTTAAAGCTATGTCCCCTCGTGCTAGCCATCACCATCCGAGGAAAAACGCTCCCACTGTCCACCCTATCTAATCCTCTGATCATCTTGTATGTCTCTATCAAGTCACCTCTTAACCTTCTTCTCTCTAACGACAGAGTACAATGAATCTTGATCAGATAGGCTAATGGGGTGACAAGTGGCAGATAGAGTTTAATTTAGATAAGTGCAAGGTGTTGCATTTTGGTAAGGTAAACCGTGGCAGTACTTACACAGTTAATGGGAAGGCCCTGGGAGCGTTGTTGAGCAGAGGGACCTAGAGGTGCAGGTACATTGTTCATTGAAAGTGGCATTGCAGGTAGAAGGGTGCTGAACGCGAGTTTGACATGCTTGCCTTCATTGGTCAGAGCATTTAGTGTCAGAGTTGGGACATCATCTTGACATTGGTGAGGCCACTTTTAGAATACTGCGTACAATTCTGGTCACCCTGCTGTAGGAAGGATGTTGTTAAACTAGAAAGGGTACAGAAAAAATTTACAAGGATGTTGCTAGGGCTGGAGGGTCTGAGTTATAAGGAGAGACTGAATAGACTGGGGCTTTTTTTTAAACCTGGAGCATTGGAGGCTGAAGAGTGACCTTACTGAGGTTGACAAAATCATGAGGGGCATAGATAAGGTAAATAGCCAAGGTCTTTTTCCAAATGTAGGGGAGTCAAAAACTAGAGTGAATTGGTTTAAGGTAAAACGGGAAAGATTTAAAAGGGACCTGAGGGGCAACATTTTCACACAGAGGATGCTGTGTATTTGGAATGAGCTGCCAGAGGAACTGGTAGAGATGGGTACAATTACAACACTTAAAGACATTTGGACAATTACATCAGCAGGAAAGGTATAGAGGGATATGGGCCAAATGCAGGCAAATGGGATTAGTTCAGTTTAGGATAACTGGTTGGCATGGACAAGTTAGACTGAAGGGTCTGTTTCCACACTGTATAATTCAATTATGCCCTTCCTGTAATGTGACTGGAACAGTACAGAAGTTTCCAGCTGTAGCCCAACCAATGTCTTACGTGGTTCCACCGTTACATCCTGCTTTTGTTTTCAATACCTCATGGAACGAAGGAAAATAATACATTTGTATTCTTTACCATCTTAACTACCTGCTCTTCAATTTTCAGGGACCTGTGGACATTCATTCAAAGGTGTCTCACTTCCTCAATCCCTGTCAACACCCTATTTGGAGGGGAAGGCGATGGCCTGGCGGTATTATCGCTGGACTGTTAATCGAGAAACCCGGGTAATGTTCTGGGGACATGGGTTTGAACCCCACTTTGGCAGATGGTGAAATTTCAATTTAGTACAACAAAATCTGGAATTAAGAGTCTAATGATGACCAAGAATCCATTGTTGATTATTGGAAAAACCCATTTGGTTCACTAATGTCCTTCAGGGAAGGAAACTGCCATCTTACCTGGTCTGGCCTACATGTGACTCCAGACCCACAGCAATTTGGATGACTCTGAACTGCTCTCTGGGACATTAGGGATGGGCAGTAAATGGCCTAACATTTATTGATGATGCCCTCAACTCATGAATGATTTTTTAAAAAAAAAAATTACAATGGCTTCCTTAACTTGGTTTGCCTTCCCCAAGTGCATAATCTTGCACTTCTCTGGATTGCACCTCATTTGCCACTTTTCTACTCACTCAACCAAACCATTGATATCATCCTGCTGTCAACAGCCATCCTCTTTTCTATCAATGACTTTCTTGGTTTGCAAATATCTCAACCACACCTCTCATTCAAGTCCAAATTAGTAATTATTATTGGATTTTTTTTGCAGTATTAAAATCCTATAAAATACCACTGGAAATTGCTTTCCATTCCTAAAAATGTTTGTGAACCATTATGCATTGTTTCCTGCCACTGAGCCAATTTTGGATCCAGCCTGCCACATTCCCCTGAACACTTTTTGTTATTTTACTGATCATTCTGCCACGCGACTTAGTCATACTAAAATCCATATAGACAATTCTGACTGCACAACATTCATCAATCCACCTTGTTAGTTCCTCAAAAACTTTAGTAAGGTACAATCTTTCGTTAACAAAACCATGCTGATTCACTGAGAGTAGCACACGCCTTACCGGGTAACAATTGATCTTCTCTCTTTGGATTGCTTCTGGTAATTCGTCCACCAATGTAAACTGGCCTATTTGGTTCATCCCTCTCATTCTTTTTGAATAATCGTACAACATTCACAGATTTCTAAGCATCTGGCGCCCCACCTGTATTTAATGAGTATTGGAAAACTATCCTGAAAGCACCCGCTATTTCCTCTTTGGATTCCTTTAACAACCTAGTACACAACTTTTCCAGTCCTGGTGATTTATTCACCGTCATGGAGGTCAGTCCCTTCAGTACCTCCCACCTCAGTATACTTGTTTTATCTAATATTTCACACTTCTTTTCAACTGGGACATCTGCGTCACTCCCCTCCTTTGTGAAGACATAGAGAAGAGGTTCATTAAGAATCCTGCCCATATCTCCTGCATCCACACACAAATTACCATGTACAACACTAATAGGTCCAAACCATTCCTTAATTATTCTCTTGCCCTCAATATACAACATATCTTTGTATTTTCCTTAATTTTACAGTCAATACTTTTTCATATCCTCTCTTTGCTTTCTAAATTCCCTTTTCGCTTTACTCCTGCACTTTCTATACTCCAAGCTTCCTGAAGTATTACTTTTTTCAGATGGTCAAAAGATCACTGTTTGGCTTTATCTTACCCGATATGCTTCTGAATAACCAGGGGACTCTAGATTTGGCAGTATACTGCACTCACAAACTCTTGCTTTTCAATGTCTCTCAGACTTCCCACTAACTTTTCTTCAAGTAGTTATAACCAGTCTACTTGTCAGATGACCTCTCAGCTACATACATTTTGCCTTCTGCAAATTTAGAACGTTTATTTCAGTTTTGTCTTCGTCACTTTACAATAACGATGCTGAATCAAACACTAATCTCCAAAACGGTCACTCATTGCTACTTAATTTTCCCAGCTTTACTTCTGAAGACTAAATCTACAATCGTGCCCTCTTGTTGGGCTTATTAGGGCAATGACTAAAATGTTCTCTTGAATGCAGTTGAATAATTTTGTGTCCTTTGTGCCTTTCACACAGTTTTTACCTCAGTTAATATTTGTGCTGTTGAAGTACTCAACTATGATTGCCCTATTATTTTTGCATTCAGAAATGTGCCTACTTATTTGCTCCTCCAACACTTTCCTACTATTGAGATGTTTATAGCACATGCTGGCAGTGTGGATGCTCCTCTTTGTTTCTAAATTCAACTCAGATGGTGCCTAACATGGAGGAAATCTAATTCATCAACCCAGGGGCTATCAGTGGCAATCTGCAGACATCCTTGCATATGTGTGACCTGATTCCAACAGATTTCATGGGGCCCAGAGTTTTGGGCTCTCAGGGCAATCTTTCCTGAATGTATATCATGGTGCTATCATCCCTGGTGGATGTGTCCTGCCACTGAAAGAATATACCAAACGATGGTGATGTTTGGAACATGGCTGATGGTATGATCCCATGACTATGAGTATGTCAGGCTAGGAAAGTCTGTGGGACCACTCTGCCAATTTTGGTACATCCCTCAGATGGCAAGGAAGAATTTGCAGGGTCCACAGGGTTGTTTGTCATTGCCATTTCCAGAGCATCATTCGTTGATCTCGAGTCTGGCCAGTTTCATTCCTTTGTTGAGATGTTGTATGGTTAGATACAACTGAGTGACTTATCAGACCATTTCAGAGGGTATTTAAAAGTCAACACTGCTCTAGGCTGGAGTCACCTATGGGCCAGATTATGTAAAGATGGCAGATTTCCTTCCCTAAAGGACATTAGTGAATCACATCAGGCTAGCTCTTAATCCCAGATTTTTATTGAATTCAAATTTCACTATATGCCACAGTGAGATTCAAGACCATTACCACAGAACAACAGCCTGTCTCTCTGGATTACTATTGACATTACCACTATGCTGCTACTACCCTGTAGAAATAGAAAGCCTTTTTGTTATAACATGTAGTAATAGCATTAAACACATGCAGATAAAGTCTTCTGGTTTTGACACCAACTGCTTGCCTTCCCAAAATCACAAGCAAAAAAACGTAGCTGACTTAAGAAATTTCAATAGGCAATCCTTATGATTGTTACAAGATCTTATTATCAAGAGACACTTTGGGCAACAGAAGGCAAACACCTACCACACTGTTAAATGCCAGGTTGGAACCATATGGTCTGATAACTAGTGGGATATCAAGGTATGTATCAATTCTCCAGCTCTCATAGCCACACTCCAGACACTTGACGTAATCCTTCAATTTTCCTTGGTACAGTTGGTTGATGAGGTCAGCCTGAAACACAAAGCATAATTTAAGATATCTTGGAATAAACACTAAAGGGCACAGCTGAAATTTAGTGGAACGCAGCTACACATTCTAAAATTTGACACTGACTGTACGACAACAAATTGCAGTGGGAGGTTTGAGATGAATGCTTCCCTGTGGTACTTGACAAAATACAATCAGAATCCTGGTTTCATGAATGTAAAAGTTAAATTTTAGAAAGACTTCTGAAAGGATGATGGCAAGCAACATTTTGATTTAAAAAGCTCAGTGGTAACAGGTGAAGCAAACAGACTGTGAAAATATAAACTTAGATGACCTTTACAAACTCAAAAAAATAAATCAAACATTTCTACAAAGCAGTAACCCATAAAAAATATTGTGCCAAAATTCTGCTTCGTCATTCAGGCATAGGGACATAAATGGAATTGGAAATGGTTTCGCAGATCAGACTGTTGTTGGAAGGTTTTGGGCTCCAAGTTCATTTCCGGAAACTTGAGCATATAATCTTGCTGCACAGTCAACACTGGCTGATATTGGAGCCCTGGATATCCCTCACAAATATGCAAACATCCAATGAAAATTATTTGAAGAGCAACAGACGTGGTGTCCTGGTCAACCAACATCAATAAAAGAGATTGTGGGATCTAGCTGTGCACAAATTAGCTGCTGTATTTTGTACATTACATTAATTCTACAATACTTAATTAGGTGTGAAGTGACTTGAGAGTTTGTGTGGTGATAATATATTTTTTTGTTATAAATACAAATTCTTTCTCTAGTAGATTAGAAATCATGCATTTCCCTCTGGTTTTCAAAAACACAAAACCCAAAAGAGATGGTTAAAGAACAGATAAAACTACAGTAACACATTCAAAGCTACACTGAAGCTTTGATTATCTTTAACTCAATAGTGTAATATCTAACAGCAGTGCCAAAACATTGAAAGTCATACAATGGTTGTATCACAGTTTTCGATTTGCAATTACATTAAGAAACACTGCTCTGAACTTTACCTGTCACAAAAGGAGTGGAAGGAAAAAAAAAAGTTTGATCAGGATCCTCTTCGAGGAAGACCAGGCCATGTCAGTGTTACTATATTAAAATGAAGGGAAAGATGGCAATGTAGTGGTAATGTTACTAAACAGTAACCCAGAGGCTCAGATTAATGCTCTGGGGACACAGAGGCAAATCCCACCATAGCAGCTGGTAGAATTTACATTCAATTAATAAATCTGGAATTCAAGCTAATCTCAGTAATCGTCACCAATCATTCATTGTCATAAAAACTCATCTGGTTCACTAATGTCCTTTAGGGAAATAAATCTGCCATCTTTAACTGATTTGGTCTACATCTGACTCCAGACCCACATCAATGTGGTCTACTCTTAACTGTCCTCTGAAATGGCCACTCAGTTCAAAGGTAATTAGGGATGGGCAGCAAACGCTATCTTTGCCAGTGACACCCAAGAAATTATAAAGAAAAATTAATATGGAGTTACCTGTTCAGTTTGCTTCCATTTCTGCTCCAATGCATCAAACATAACCCTGCACAATTCTTGAACATCATGCTGCTGCCATGCTAGTAAGAGAAAATCAACAGTAACAGAAAAATCAACATTAAAAGCTCAACTATTGAACAAATTTTACCCTTGCAACTAAGGAGTAAATTAGCCTCAAAATACAACCTTCACTGCTATCCCAGCCAAAGCTTCGAGTCACATCTGTTGTTTCCACTGCTCTTTTCTTACTAGTTTGTAACAAGACAAACAACCTTTGGAGTTGATAAGGAATGCTGATCACTGGATCTTCTTCATATTCTTCAAACTCCCACCTGTGAATATATTCACACAGGAATAATCTGTAACATACTGGAAGACAATTCCATGCATCCATTTGAAAATTAACATTTAAAAATCATATTCTGCTCATTCACTCACGAGGGGCCAACCAAGAAGCTTGACGTACTGCTGGCTAAAGGGATACTGACAGAAGATATAGCTCTGGATATGTGTTGGAAGTATAATATTCATGCTAAAAAATTAATAGTTTGATCGATAAATGTGTTTAAATAATATATACTGTTTTACAGTAAGTACAGTGTCTAGGATGGCTGCCTCTGGGTCTGATCTAATATGACAACTGAGAGTTGGTTTCTTGAGATCCAATATTATAAAATTACAAATTACATTTCCTCAACAGGTTGAACACCAGTGGGAAGTGAAATGGTTCATTCCTCAAGCAGATTTTCTCCTAATCCAGTATTTCAGTTTGGTCTACATTGGTAAACACTCAGGATAAAGGAAGTGTATCCAAACTGCATCTCTATAAGGGTACCTCGGGTCCCAGAAAACTGGCCTATCACAACTTATCAATTGTGCTATTTCTCAAGTGTGAATTTATAGGCACAGAGGTTTGGAAAGGATTGTGCTTCATTTTACGGTCTCTGGTGTAAAATTCCCAAAACAGAATATGGAGGTCTGTTGGAATCGATAGCTTTGGATATTCACACCGTAATGGAAAGATCAACTTAATATATGGCCCTGAGGCTCTGTAGAATACGTTCAGGGAGCAAGTAATGGCAAATGTTTGGATACTTCTGTCCCAGTACAAATCTTAATTACAGCCAGAGATAGAAATAACTGTCAATTCTCCAGTGTTCTGCCTTGAGCTCTAATGGAAAAGGATGAGACAGGTATAGACATCAAGTGGAGGACTGTGAAATTAAGTGAATATAGAGAGGAGGCACTAGTGGGTTTAGCAGCCATATGAGTGGATAAATCTGCAGGCCTGGTTGAGATGTATCCCAGGCCATTGAAAGAAACAAGGGAGGAGTTATCACAGGTTCTAGCAGTAATTTTCAGATACTCTCTGGCCACAAGTGAGGTGTTAGGACTGGAAGACTATTTAACTATTTAAAAAAAGGATGAAGGGATAGACCATGAAATTACAGGTAGTCAGTCAGTCTAATGTTGTTGGGTAGAGAAGTTTTTAGAAGGAATTCTGAGGGACACTGTATATCTGCATTTGGAGATACATAGATCACAGATTAGTTAGGGGTAGTCAGCATGGGTTTCTTGTAGGACAGATGTGTGACCAAATGTTTTCAGACAATCAAGAATGTTGATAAGTGTCCACATTTGATGTGGTCTATGTGGACTTTATTAATACTTTTGACAAGATCTCTTAAAGTATACGGGTCAAGAACATAGAACTCACAGGATTGAAGGCAATGTGGCATGTAGGATCCAAATTGTCTGAGATGCAGTAAGCAGAGGATGACAGTAGAGGAATGCTTCTGTGACTGAAAGTTTGTTTCCAGTACAGTTCCATAGGGCTGGGTCCCTTGTTGTTTATGATGTTCTTTAATGATTTGGACTTAAATAGGGTGGTTGGGGTGGTGACAGGGTAGGAACAAAGCATGTGGATGACATAAAAATTGCTAGGATGGGTAAATAATGAGGAGAACAGCCATAAACTGCAGGCATATAGTAACACAGGAGTCAGGTGAGTACAGCAGCTGCAAATTCAACCCAGAATGTGTGAAGTAATGCACGTGAGGAGGCCTAACAAGGTAAAGGATTACACTATAAATGATAGGACCCTGAAAAGTACTGAAGATCAGAGGGACTCTTTTTTTGTGCATAATCATAGATCCCTTCATAGAGGTGTATAAGATCAAAGGAAAATCAAAGGGTTAGTAGGAAGGCATGTTTGTATGCAGGTTAATAATCAGAGAGCACAGATTTAACATAAGAGGTAAAACACTAAGAGGAGAGCTGAGGAGAACTTTTTTATCCAGAGGGCGATGGGAATCTGGAATGTACTGCTTGAAAGGGTGGTTGAATCAGGAACTCAAAGCATTTAAGCAGTGTTCAGATATTCACTTGCATGACCATAGCCTCTAGGGGTATGGGCCAAATGCTGGAAAACAGGATCAGTGTAGTCAGATCTTTGCTGACCAGCACAGACAGGATGGGCTAAATGACCTCATTCTGTGCTGTAAATATCTATGAGTCTAACTTAAATATCTAATCATATTCTATTTCTGGTTATGCATAAGAGAATAATAATGTGAATCATTACCTGTACAGTGCATTCCTAAATTCAGGGGTCATGAAGAGTGTCTGCAGCAAGCTGTTCAGGTAGCAGGTCATAGCTTGGTTCACCAATCCAACATATCCTGCAAAATATAGAATTTCATCAGTCATGCTCGACATGTCAATGCATCATTTTTACTTAACTCACTACAAATAAGGTTTCCCCTCAATAGATTTTTGATTTCCTTCCCAGGATGTGAACACAGCTAGCAAGTCAGCATTTTAATCTATAAACATTAATTAATTCATATTTGTGCACAATTACAACATACAAACATCTGCTTCAACGAAAAGGCATTATTTGATAGAATGGTCTACATTACAACATTGATCGATTATGCTTTAAAAGTAGTTAATTATTTGCAAGTGCTTTGGTTCAGAAGTTAAAAGCGGCACCATATAAAAGCAAATCTTTCTTTCACCAGGAGTTGAGGCTATGTTAAAACTCACAACAGAATGCATTTAAAAGGGCAAATTTTTAACTAACACATTTATACGAAGTATCTCATCATCTTTTATTTGTAAAATACAAAGCTGGTGGTCAAGCTGAAGTTTTAGAATTCCAGCATGTAGAAAATACTGTCCAAATTGAGTTGTCACCTTATTTTCCTCTTTAACCACTCCATTGATATAGGTTGTGGGATGCCGTTTTGATGATTGATTTCTATGGGAACTTGTAATTTCAACCAGTGTCATTCCTGAGCTGCTCAATCACGGGAAATAATCTACCATCCAAATATGTAGCAGTTGGCTGCCATAAGCAATCAGTGAAACTACCAATTGCACTACGATGTGGCAATTGATGTGTCATCCAGCACAGGCAAGACTTAGGAAAAGTAGTAGGCCATTAATTCTATTTGCCTTCCTAATCACTTGCTGTACCAGCACAAACTGTCTTTTGATTCATGTGCCAGACACCCAGATTCCTCTGTTCCACCAAGTTCTGCAATCTCTCTCCATCTATATTTTTTATTCTTCCAGTAGAGACCTTCTCTATAGCACTAGTTTCCACAGCAAGGAAGCTGAGGAATGCATCAAAAGTCTACATGAAAATAAAACTAACCTTGAATCATTCAGAAGCAGGAATTACTTATGTTGGTATTGTGCAGCTGGGGAGTGATGTGGCCTCAGCATTATAATAATATAGTTTTAACAGCTAAACAATGAATTAATTCACCTGTTTGTTATTATCTAATGAGGAAGTCAATAGCATTTTTTAAAAATGCTTCTAACTTTGGGATGAGGTTACCTTAAAATAATTACAGGCACCAAAACCCTTCAACCACTAGATGATGCTATGATTCTTCATAAATTCTATACTACGCAATATCCTTAAAGAGCACCAGAAAAGTACTTTGAAAGGTTCTATTACTGGAACTATTTTTAGTCACATTACTCAGAGATGCCAACTGCTCCAACTTAGTTGGAACCTTGGCATCTTTCACTGAAACCAAATAGTCACTAAGTTGCATGATAAATCATCCATCTACAGTTGGGTCTAGGCATTCAACAGGACACACTTAGCTTAGTTCTAAACAACAGACTTACACTTATGACCACAAAGCAATTCACAGCCAGAAGCATAAACTCCTCTTACTGGGAGGAGTTGCTAGTGCTTATATTTCAAGCTAATACACTACTGGATATCCTTTCAGTCTCATTTACCAGCTTTTTATAAACATGGCTTCTGTAGGTGCAGTTGAAGATCAGAATGTTTCCCCTGGTTTGTGTTCATTGACAAAGTCCTTTCTGGGCACTCGTCACTCAGGTCACTCCATCAGAGATATTGGTATGGGCACTCATTAAAACAATTATTTAACCTCAGTCACGTCTGCAGCAGTACGGGGACCATGGGTCCAGTGACAGGAAAAGACGGTCAGGTCCTGAGGTGGGTAGAGGTGATCAGGTTCTAGGGAGGTAGTGGGGAAAAGTCATGTCTGGTGATGGTGGCGTTGGCGACAATGATGTTCTGTACATAGAGGGGGAAGGGAGGGCTGCCAGGTCAGTGTACAGCTCCTTATGGAGGTGTAGTTGGGGGTGTGCGAGGTAGTTTGAGGGTCAGGTTGACTGTTATTCAGGAGTCAAGCTAGGTATTCGATTGTCTAATTTTTCCTGAATAGCTATTTAATTAACTTCAACAGAACACTCCAAATTTTCATATGTAAATAGATACTTTCAAAGGATTCCAGGTGCTGGGGAACTTTCTAGCTGAATCATCAATTTCCCATGCATTTCCTTTGGAGTCTGCTACACCAGGGATTCTACAGGGTCTCCATGCAGACAGCTTTTAACTATGCCTCAAAAATGATCATCCAGTCATTGGAAAATCTGGGCCTCTTTTCTCATGACCTACAACTTTTCAATGAACTTCAAAATCAAAACGCAGTAGTATTAATAAGCCATAGTTTCTACTATGGAAGTTCAGGCAGCAATAGGTGGAACTATAAATTCCTTGTTTGAAGCAAGGCATGTCTACATATAGTCACAGTGGTATACAAAACAAAAATAAATGATCTGGTTTATAACTTCATACAGAGTAATTGAGAAGCAGGAAGTAGTTGAGGCTGTGTACTAAGACACAGGAAACCAGACAATTCCGCAGATGCTATATCTTTAGTGACAGCACTATAAACCAACCAGAAATAAGGTTATTTTAGATTTAGCATTATGTAATGAGAAAGGGTTAATTAATAATCTTACTATAAAGCCGCCTTTGGGAAACAGTGACTATAATATGATAGGTACTCAGGTTAAATATGAATATGCTCTGAACAAAGGAAACTATGACGATACAAAGGCAAGTTTGCTATAAAGGACTGGGGAATACATTAAACAGCCGGTGGCTAGTAATTAAGGATCCAATGATCTACAACAGATGTACATCCTCTGTGGCACAAACATCCAAAGGAAAAGGTGAATCAATTGTGGCTAATGAAGGTTAAAGATTGCATAAGATGAAAGGTAGTCACTTACAAGGGGTAAGCCTAATGACTGGGAGCAACTTAGAAACCAGCAAGGGATGACAAAGAAACTGAATAACAAAGCAAAAGGGAATATGAATGCCAGCCAGTGAGTAACAAAGGCAGATTGTAAAAACTTCTTCATATATGTGAAAATGTTTACCTAGAACAAATGTGGCCCATTACAGATGGAGACAAGTGAAATTATAGCAGAGAATAGGGATATGGCAATTACTTTGCATCTGTCTTCACAGAAGATAACACTGAAAATCTCCCAGTAATACCGGGTGACCACGGAACTTGTGAGACCAAGGAAAGGAAGAAATTAGTAAAAGGGTGGTAGTTGTGATGTTAACTGTATTGAAAGCTAACGAATCACCAGGACCAGAGATAGAGGAGAACTACGTCAGTTTGATGTCAGTGGGAGGGAAGATATTCAAAACTAATAGGAAGGATATGATACTGGACAATTTCAAAAATGGTAAAACTGGAAAATAGTTTTAAGTGAAGGAAATCATGATTGCCGAATTTGGAGATTTTTGGATATGTAGCTAGTAGCATAGGGTAACCTGTGGACATAATTATTTGAATTTTCAGAAGGTTTTGACAAAGTTCCATAGTGAAATATTAAAAACAAAATTAGAGCGTGAAAAATGGGGATTAATATTCGAGTATAGACTGAGAATCAGTTTACAGACAAAACATGGACAGCAGGGATAAATGGATCATTCTCAGGATGCAGACTATTACGAGTGAGGCACCAAGAGGATTACTGCTAGGGCCGCAGCCACTCAAGCTTTATAAATAATTGCTGGACTAATTGCAATATGTTCAAATTTGCTGTTGACAAAACTAGGGGAATAAAAGTTGTGAAGATTCAAGGAGGCTTCAAGGGGATTTGGACAAGCAAAACGATGGACTAGAACATGGCAGATGGAATACAATGGGAATAAGTTGTTCACTTTGGTTAAAAGAAAGGAAAAAGGCAGAGTATTTCTTAAATGTGTAATTGGAAAATAGCTTCCAAAGGGACATGGATGCACTTTTCATGAATCACTCAAAGTCATGCAAGTGCAGCAAGTAATTAGGAAGGCAAATGCTATGTTTGTCCTCATCACAAGAGGACTTGAGTGCAAAAGTAAAGATATCTTCCTGCAATTGTATACACCTTTGGTGAGACTGCATCTTGTATATTTTGTACACAGTTTCGGTCCCTTTATCTAAGAAAGGATATACCCACTGCAGAAGCAGTGCAACTAAGGTTCACAAGACTCATCTCTGCAATAGCATGATTGTTTTATGAGAAGTGACTGACACAAAACTGGGTCTTTATTCTCTAGAGTTTCAAAGAATGAGAAGTGAGCTCATTGAAACCTACAAAATTCTTACAGGGCATGGAAGGTTGAATGTAAATAAAATGCTTCGCTTGACTGATGACTCTAGAACCAGGAGACAAACTCAGAGAGAGAGGAAGACTGAGGCAAGGAGAAATTTCTTCACAGAGTGCAGTGAATCTTTGGCATTCTTTACCCCAGAGCGCTGTGTGGAAGCTCAATCATTGAATGTTAAAGACAGAAATCTAAAGATTTTTGAGACAAACAATATCAAGAGATTGAGATGGTGCATTAATGTGGCACTGAGGTAGATAATCCTCCCATGATTTAACTGAATGGTGGGCAGACTCAAGCGGCTGAATGAATGACTCTGGTGCCTGTGCTATCTCGGAACAGAAATACAATTGCCAGGCTACCACGTGTAAAGAATTTCACTCACTGTATATATTAACAGAACCTGACTGGCACAGGTACAAACCATGTCTCTACTTTCGAACCAACAACTGAATAATATGCCTTTGAAAAATGCTTGAGGAAATCAAGTCAACCACACATTGACAAGCAAAATAATCACTTTACAACGAAACAAGTCCAAGGAGAACAGGATTAAATATTTAACAGCCTAAAATCTAGGATCTTTCATGAGTGACATATACCAGAAACTCAATATTTCATATCTTAATGAACCCCCCATATAATTTTTACACAGCATTTTCATCTAATCAGAATTACTCAGCAAGACGTTTAAACATTCACTTTTTTTTTCAAATTTCTTTTCAGATAACATACTGTGGAATAAAAGCTTTCAAATATTTGCTGTCCAATCACTCACCAGTTTCTGACTTTCCCAGGACAGGAGAGTAAGAGTAGTTCTGACTATTGTACTCTCCACAACCCACAGTGTTTTCCCTTAGCTGAGGGCCAATAATCCTTTCCTGAGCACTGTCATCATGTCCACTGCTTTCTGCTGTACCAGACTCATCCTGTAGAGATATAGTGATATACTTTTCTATGACCAAACAACCAAGTCCATAGAAACAAAACGTAAATAAGGATGATGCATAGTAATTAGTAAATTACAGAAAACAAACCACCACTGTATAAAGTCAAAACACACTTATTTCATTAAATCCACAGAATTTCTAGCATTTGGTTCAAAGACTTATTTGAAGATATCTACTTATTAGATCACTCATGAGCATTTTATAGAGCAGTAATTCAGAAATTCAGCTCCTTTCAACTATCAGATACACTTTCTATTCCCCATGCAAACACATCATAGCAGATTTAATGAAATTAAATTAAATGAAGAACACTAAGTGAAGCAGTAGTTATAAATCCTGTGCCTTGAACAAAAGCTGTGAAGTTTGCTTTGGGGACATTGCTACCACCACCTGCACCTGCACCCCCCCGCCAAAAGAATGCGTGCATTCAGGAAAACAGCAGCTGCCAAGTAGATATTTTCCCCACCTCTTTTCCTATACCCACATCTTTTAGCGATTCATAGAAGTTCAGAAATATATCACTTAGTTTGAGTAATATCAGCAATAGGCATAATAAGCACCTCTCCGACTTAAAGTACTGTGCATTCACTGAACACTTTGAAGACTTTTATTTTAAATTCCTCACATCCCTGAGGAATCACAAAAACTCAAATTATAGGACAACAGTTTTTGACTGGAGAAGCAAATGGGAAAGCTGAACAAGATTCTAAATGTCACCTAGGACAAGCTTTGATCACAGACAGAGTCCACCTACCGATGCAAACTGGGGTTGTTCGCCATCTTTATCTGTGAGATGAAGAAAATTTTTCTTTCCTGGTTCAAATCCAGAATCAGCAAGAGATTTTTCACTAGAGTAATCCAGGGGACTCTGAAACAGGGCACAATTAGGTTTAGGTTTAGACTTTTTAAATGATATAACTTTAAAGTGGGTACACAAACTAACAGACCTGGAGATGTTTGAACAAAGGAAGTAAAATGTATACAATCTGGGATTTCACCATTACAGGCATATAGTGTAAAGCCCAGAAGATAAGGCTAAACCTAGATTTTAAAACTCGACACCAGCTGGAAAACTGTGTCAAATTCTTTAAGGGTGTGAAAGTTTTGCAATAAGTACAAAAGATTTATACAATGGCCCCAATGATTAGCAATAACAGTTATGTGGGAAAACTGGAAAACTTTGTGTATTGCTCGCCTTAGGGAAGAGATAACTAAGGGTTGAATTGAATTAAAAGTTTATGGTCACATGTACTCACAGGAGTACAGTGAAAAGTTTACAAGTTGCCATTAACAGCGTCGTCTTAGGTACAAAGGTACCTAGGTACAGATACAAAGCAGAAAAATAAGGAAAACAGTGTTAAAAAGTTAAACATTACAGTCCTTCTTACTAACAGGTAAAAGAAAACACTTAACAGTTCAACACCACAGTCTATAAACGCCTGGTAACTGAATAGAGAGGTTTTTTTGAAACTCATGAAAGATTTAGGTGGAGTAAATAAAGGTAAACTGCATCCAAAGGACGGATAGTTGATAACCAGAAGACTGTCAAAAGAGGCAGAGGCGCCTTTGGATAAATGGTTATTTTTAAACGTAATGAGTACCAAGAATGTGAAATGCACTGCCTGATACAAGGTCAGTACAAATTCAATAGCAGTTTTCAAAGATACTGGATAAATACTTCAAGCAAAGAAAACTGCACTGATATGAGAAAAGCACGAGGGAGTGGGAATAATTGATTTGCTCATTGAAAGACCCAAAGCAGAATCAAAAGACTGAAAGACAAACTTTGCTGCTGTACAATTCAACAATTGCATGATTGAAGAGACTTTGGTAGCATCAGAAAAATAATTAACTGAGCTGATTTGAATATTATGGAGCCAAAGGAGTACTGCAACTTCTGTGTGAAATGACTCCTGTACAATTCCCATTGTTTTGGCTACTGGGTGGTGTAAGATAGTTACGTTTCGACTGTTTTCTTAAATTCAAGATAAAGCAGAGCTTTGGAGCATGCAACCTCCTCTGGGATCTTTGTAGTCGTACATATTTTTCCTTATCAGAAAACGAATCAATTCTCGCTTGAATGTCTCAATTCAAGCCACCTCGACCATATCTTAGGCAGTGTTTTCAAGATCTTAACTACGTGCTGGATGAAAACATTCTTCCTCACATACAAACCAATTGAATATTGAATACAACTTCATGCCTCCTTGAGGACTGTGAAGATTAAGAATCAGCAGATGACAACATGCAATCCATTTCGTTCTGCTCAAAGAACTGAGTGAAGGTAATTTTGTTTAAAAGGACACCGGAATATACAACCTGGTGAAGTAGAGCGCAGTGTGTTATGACCTCGGCTCTAGGAGTTCACTGATGCTCTAGTCCCACAATTCAACATATCACGATGTAAAATAAAAATACTTTTTCCAGATACCAAAATGGAAAAATAAATGCTTTATCAAATCAGGTTTTAACTTTTCTTCATAAAAAAAATCAACCAAGTTTTTCAAGAAACACAATTATTGGTTTAATAGAAAAGAAGTATTCATTGAATATGCAATAATTACTCAGTAATATATATTCTTAGAGTCAGAGAGGACGGAAACAGACCCTTCAGTCCAAGCCGACCATAATCCCAAACTAAACTAGTCCTGCCTGCCTGCGGCCATATTCCTCCAAACATTTTTTATTCATGTACTTATCTAAATGTCTTTTAAACATTGTAGGTGCACCTGCATCCATCACTTCCTCTGGAAGTTTATTCCACACATGAACCACACTTTTAAAAAAAAAATTCCCCACATATCTTTTTTAATTTTTTCTCCTCTCACCTTAAGAGTATGCCCCCTAATCTTGAAATGCCCCATCCTAGGGAAACAACACCTGCCATTCAACTTATCCATAACCCTCATTATTTTATAAACCTCTATAAAAGTCACCTCTTGCCTACACTCCAGTCAAGAAAGTCCCAGCCTATCCAGCTCTCCTTATAACTCGAACTCTCCATTCCCGGCAACATCCTGGTAAATCTTTTCTGAACTCTCTTCAGCCTAATAATATACTTCCTATAACAGGGTGACCAGAACTGGACACAGTAGTCCAGAAGCCTCACCAGTGTCCTGTACAACCTCAATATAACATCCCAACTCCTACACTCAAAGGTCTGAGCAATGAAGGCAAGCTGGCTCAATGCCTTCTTAACCACCTTATCTATATGTAATGCAAACTTCCAAGAATTATGCACCTGAATCCCTAGGTCTCTCTGTTCTACAATACTGCCCAAGGCCTCCAAACATTCCCAAAACACACTTAAAGTCTTCAGGTGAAGTGAAAATAGGGGAAAAAAGTAGATCGACCTACTGAAAAATACACTTCAGCCAATGGGTTATTCTTCAAGACAAGCACAGTCTTCACTTTATCGCTTTAAGTCTGTCGCTATGTTATTCTGGCACGTGAAGTCAAGTCACTAATCATGCATAGTTGTTTCTGAAATCTTTCAAACACAGCTTGCTCAAGAAATACAATATTGCGAAGATGATTAAATCACACTTTCAAAAAAAAAAAAAGTTTTATCCTGAACTTGTGGATTTTCTGTTCAGATCAGATGGACAACCCTGCCTCACATGCTTTTCCTCCCACAATTGAAGGCCAGATACCGAAGCACTCTCCATTGCTTTTCAAAATAGCTCTATCAAGGTAATAGAACAAAACAAGCAATTAATGTTGTGAGATTTCTAGGAAGCCTCATGAAAAAAAAACCTGAGTTAACTTCTCCATTCCCGCTTTAGCAGTAATTATTCTTAAGGGCAGTGCCTCAGTAAATCAAGCAGCCATGTCCAGGATAGAAGTATATGCCAGCATCCTGCTTTTGTTTTCAGTAAAGTTTCCACACAACCCATGAACACCATATTAACTTAATTCCTCAAAAAAAAAAGAACTGGTACTGGAAAAATGCTGACTTGATTGCATGTTATAGTTTTCCCATCATGTAACATGCAGGACACAATTTGCAGATCTGCATACATCCTTATGAAGACCTGTCCAGTGAAAATGTTGACTTATAAGTGCTTGGATCTTCCAAATTCCTACATGTCCTTCCATAAGAATTTCATAGGCTCTATTTAATATTTCTCAACAATTATTAGGCAGTGGAGGTGATGGCCTCGTGGTATAATCACTAGACTATTAAGCCAGTGACTCTAGTAACGTTCTGGGTGCGCAGGTTTGAATCCTGTCATGGCAGATTGTGGAATTTGAATTCAATAAATATCTGGAATTAAAAGTCTAATAATGATTGTGAAACCATTGTTGATTGCCAGAAAAACCCATATAGTTCACTCACCTTGCCATCCTTATCTGGTCTGGTCTACATGCGACTCCAGACCCACAGCAATGTGGCTGACACTGAATTTCCCTCTAGGCAATTAGGGATGGGCAATAAATGCTGGCCTGGTTAGTGATGCCCATATCCCACGAATATATTTTTTAAAAAAAAAACTCTATTTAGTGAACTACCGCATACTCTTCATCCTCTGTCCATGAGCAAGTCTCCATTTCTCGTATTTTTCACATACTAACATTCCAGAAATCCAGCAGTTTCAACTTCCATTTGTGCTGATTAGGCTACTTTGCTTAACTCTGGATTGGCTTGCTGAGCCTCAGAAGAATTATTGATTGCCTCCTTCAGATAATCCAAATCCAAAAGAAGGTAATTATGCATCTGTCTGTAGTATCAAGTCAATTCCAATGATAGACTTTATTTAGCCACTGCTCAAGTCACCACACATGAAGGAACAATTCCAACATCCTTTTCGTGTAATTGCTCTGTCTCCTTAACTTCACTTGATCTTTGTGTTACTACTAGAAAAGATACCACCTTTGTTTCCTAGCGCAGGAGTGATTCAAATCCGACCAAGGTAAACTATGGACAACCCCTACACAGTTATGTCCCAAGCATTAGGTCATACTCTCTGCTAATTCTGTTTACTAGAACTTTGGCATGCTTGTCATTTTCTGGTGCAAAATTCATACCTTTCCCCAATAAAAGAACTTAAGTTCCTATGTATCTCTGACTATAAGTTGACTTGTCTCATTTGATAATGAACAAATAGATTTCCTTTTGTCAAAACTCCCTGCAACTCTAAAGTACCTTGCTTTCTACCCTGGCACTCTTGCAGAGGTTTAAATTTGGTCTCACAGCTGTAGCGAAAGCTATAACTTGCTCTTTTCTCATTGACAGTACCTTTCTCTGCACTGACCTTGATAATAAATTCAGTAGATTTACCCTAGAACTTTAAGCTATCTGCACAAAGGTGTCCCATCTGCTTGCAATGGAAATACTCAGACCTTCAAACTCTCTTCCATCCTCAGCACCTTCCTCTGGCTCAACAAAGAGATCCTGGAACATTCCTTTTTGTCCCTTTTCATCCCTGGACACCTGACCTTCTTTCACTTTTCCACCATCTATTCGTCTCAGGTTGGCAAGAGTGACACATTTGTGGACTACCTTGTAATTATCAGTCATCTCAATTGCCTGTCTTGTTGCTGCTACCTTCAGGTTTTCTGTGCGACTTTTATGTGGGTTCATTCTAACGAAGAGAGTGAATTTTTAAATTCTTCCAAAAGAAGTACTTCCCTAAGGGTCTCATATATAATCTCTTTATTCAATGCTTGCATCCAAAAGTAAAATTATTTTGCTTTATCCTCTCAAATTCTACACAGTCTGCCCAGGCTACTTCCAGATATTCTGAACCTTCTGCCTATAGGCCTCAGGGGCCAACTCATGCACTGCAAGAATAGCCTTTTCTGCAACCTTAATCTACAGAAGCCTACTCAGAAAGCACGGCTTAAATTTTACAAGCTCTGTCATCCAGCCTTAAATGAGCAATGCCCAGTTTTCTTTCATCCACCTCATCTATTTAGCTATCTTTTCAATAGAAATAAATCAAAAAGGCCTCAGGATACCTTTCACTAAACTTTGGGGGCACTTGCACAAATTTAAACAGCCCGACACTGGGTTTTGGATTATACTCAGATCTTTCTTTGTCAGAATGTTCCCAGAGGTCCTTTTTTCAAAAAGTTAACTTTATAAATCTTTTTCCCGTTTTCTCTTGCTGTCCAGGTCATGCGGCATTTGGACAAAGATTTATTTAGCATCGGAGGACATTACATAATTATTAACAAACATTCCCACTTCTGGCCTTATGATGGAGGGAACATTATTGTTGAAGCAGCTGAAGATTGTTGGGCCCGGGACACCACATTGAAGCACTCAACTAGGCTATCTGACCAGTGAATTTCTACTGTGAGCTTTATCTTACAGAGACGGGGAGGTGATGGCCTAGTGGTAGTATCGCTGGACTATTAATTCAGAGACCCAGATAGTGTTCTGGGGACCCGGGTTCGAATCCCACCATGACAGATAATGGAACTTGAATTCAATAAAATATCTGGAATTAAGAATCTAATGATGGCAGTGAATCCATTGTCAATTCTCGGAAAAAACCCATCTGGTTCACTAATGTCCTTTAGGGAAGGAAACTTAACTGGTTTGGCCTACATGTGGCTGACTCTTCACTGCCCTCTGGGCAATTAGGGATAGGCAATAAATGCTGCCTGGCCAGCGACGGCCTCAACCCGTGAATGAATAAACAAAAAAAAAAATTCTAGGTACTGTTCATTCAAAAGAAGCAAATCACAATTTAACCATACAGTGCGCAGATGGAATCCTCAAATGAACTACAATCTGAGTTTTGGGATTATTTGGAGACCACTCCTGGGATTGAGTGTCATTTGGGAGACACTGGTGCCATAAAAAGGAAACAATACAGTTCAGTATCTTGTATGCACAGAGAAGTAATTTCAGAATCAGCAGGGTAGACGGAAAGTGTGGAACAGAGTACTGGACATAGGCACCCTGGGGAGCAATGATGGATGCAGAGGCTACCAGTAATGCTGTGTTACTGAGACTTAGCATTGTGTAACAATTTTCAGATCTAGCAGCCAAGAAGAGCTAGGACAATGAAATAAATCATTCTTTTTCTCCTTCTCCTCTCAGATCACAATCTCCATCCTTCCCAATATTCCCTAATACAGTTTTTAAAAAAAAAGCCTTTACATTTGGCAAAGGATTCCCATGAACAGCTATTTGTAACAGCATGATAAAACCATAGCCAATGCTTATTTTATCCATAATTCATAGTCACTGTCAGTGAAGAGACGCCGAAAAAGAAAAATCAAGCAATTAAAAAAATGCAGAATAAGAATGAAAGAAAGCCAATTAATCAAAATAAAGAATATAAAAAAAACATTTATTACAGGTGAAGTAGCACAGTAGTTATGTTGCTGAACTAGTAATTTGGATTAATAATTCAGTCGTTATTGAGGTTGGTTGGCTCGCCGAGCTGGTTTGTTGTTCCGCAGATGTTTTGTTACCGTGCTTGGTAACATCCTCAGTGTAGCTTCTGACGAAGTGTCGGTGTGTTTTCCCACCTAAAAACCAGGTGGGAAAAACACACTGATGCTTCATCAAAGGCTGCACTGAGGATGTTACCAAGCACGGTAACAAAACGTCTGCGGAACAACAAACAAGCTTGGTGAGCCAACCAACCTCAACACCCACAACCCAAGCTACAGATCTACTCCAAAACCTTAATTCAGTGGTTAGATTTCAAATCACAACAGGTGAGTTTTAAATTATTTTGACTAAATAAAATTTAGAATAAAAAATTAGTGTATGTTCACCATGAAACTACTTGACTATCAAAAACGTATCTAGTTCTCCAACTTCTTTAGGAAGAAAAGCCTTCTCAGTGTGGCCTATGTACAAGTTCAGACTCAGAGCAGCATGCTTGATTCATAATCACAATCTGAAATGGCCGAATAAGCAGCCCAATTGTGCCCACATTTTATAAACATCACACGAAGGCAGTGGTTAAAAACCTGACAGTGCAATTACAGCAAATAAATGATGGCCTTGCCAGAAACTCTTGTTAACGAAATAAAAAGCTAAGCTACACTAAGATTCCAGCAAAGTAAAGAAAATTTGTAATAAAATGAATGCAGCACAAAGACATATACAGACAGGATGAAAAAAAAGCTTGGACCTGATATTCTTTAGGAATTCTAGCAAACTTTTAAGTAGCAAGCGGTAAATTGATCTTCAAGTCCTCTCAAAATGAACTAGAATAAAGAGACAACAGGTCAGACAGCAAAGCTATACAAGGGAAGGAGACAAGAAGGTGCAGGGCTGGATGAACACAGCAGGCCAAGCAGCATCATAGGAGCAGAAAGGCTGACGTTTCGGGCCTAGACCCTTCATCAGAAAAACCCTTCTGATGAAGGGTCTTGGCCC